ACTTCTAGGCACTGTGCACTCAACCGAARTTYCTTTTCAAATYAGGGACTTCAAGGTAATCACCAAAGAAATAGCCAAGAAGAGTGAATACCAATCGGTATTGCTGAAAATGCCTTTTTACAAACACAGCGAAGGCAATAGAGATGACCCCACTATCAAAAAGAAAAAACGGCCTCAAGAGCAGTTCGTACAGTCCCCCAAAACAGCCAAATAGAAGCAACAATCCATAACTCTTGATACAAGGATGTTTCGACAGTTTTGACAGTCCAAGAAGGAGTGAAAACAACCCAGAAATTTCTGGATTAAACCAGATTAAAGGGCAGCCGAAAGTTGTACAGAAACAACCCAGAAATTTCGGACACTACAACAGTCCAAACACACCAAAAAATAACCAGAAAACTGAGCACAACTTACAATTTTGAGCTTCAAATCAGAACCGAGCTGTTCCCCTTCCCCTTTTTTTTTTCTCTGATTCTTCCTGGCCACCGAACCACTTCTCCAAGAGATTCGAGTCTTGGGCACTTCCAATGACCTCAAAGAATCAGGCAACATGAGCTAAGCTTCCAGCCCTAGGATATTGAAGTTCAGGCCTGCTCTGATACCATGAAGAAAACTAAAGAGAGTAGACCTTGAGAGTTCGACAATGAGGGTTTGAGAGTGAGAGTTTCGAACCATCCWCTCTCTCAGCACCCTAACACTATTTTATTAAGATAGATTTGAATAATTACAAGGAGGCCCTTAGTTGGGCAAGAAATTACAAAGAACATAATATAGACAGGATGNAGGATGGGCCCAGAATAAGGCCCATTACAGAAAAACATAAATAATAAGAAAAGAATAAACAGCCTATGGGCCATTCGGCCCATCTTCTCTACAGTATGAGAGTCAACTTGCATCTCCTTTCTCCAGACTTCTTCATTTCTCACCAGGTAATAGACATTGTGTAGCTCTGACAATTCATCTATCCCTAGAAATTGTGACCTTATACCCTCATATATTGGGTCTAGGCCAGCCAGAAACTTGAAGGCTTTGCTCTCTTCAATTTGCTTATCATGTCTCTCCTTGTCCCTGGCATTTTCCCAGTCCAATATCAAGTGATGATCAAACTCTTCCCAAAGGCCTTCCAGAGTTACAAAGTATGTTGCAACGGTCATATCTCCTTGCCTTAGAGCTGCAATGTCTTGGTTCAATCTGTAGATTCTAGCATTGTTCTTCTTCTGGCCGTAGGTCTTAGATAC